CCCCCCCATCATCACACCCCCACCCGACCCCCACAGTGCCATGCTCTCGGTGCACAGGATGTGTGGGACACGGGAAATGAAGCTTCAAGTCAGAAGTTGGAGGATTTGAATTCAATTGTGGACAAAACTTCTCTTTCTTTGTCTGCTCTCAGCTGGAAACTGGAAAAGTTCCCAGAGAGATTTAGTAATCGTGTTTTTGCTACAAAACATCCCAGAAAACTGCAGGAAGGAAGAACCAACACAGAGTAGAAGGAATAAAATAATAGACTTTAGGAGCCTGCAACGAATTCGGAATCCATTTGGGCTCATAAGGCTCCAGAACTCCTCGGGTTCTCACCTTCTTCATTCCTTGAGGGTTTTAGCTCTTGGCTCAGGGTCGCCCCCCCCCTCAACACCACTTTTCTTAACTTCCTGTAATTCAATCAACCAAGGAGATGATCTTTCCAACACAGGTCCTTCTAGTGCTCTAATCCTCCACTCCTCTTCAGCCACCCATCCTCACTCATCTCCCAGACTCTGCCCTTGACGTCAACTACGACCTTCCTGCTGTCTCAGTTCCAAGCGTCCAACTCCCCACCCACAGAGCAGAGACCAGGGACCCTCAGCTGGCCCTTGGTGGGAGGTCACAGCTGACACTTCCTTTGCTCCCAAAGTTCGGGTGAATGTGTTGAGCACTTCTACACGGGTGTGCCTGGGAATTTGTAGGTGAGAAAGAGGTGGTAGTATTTTCCCAGGTGTGACTTCTCATCTTCTGCCCCCCTGTAATCAAATTTATTCATCATGAAACTGGCCTAGGCACCATCCCTAGAAAAAACAACACAGGGACCACTTTTTCTTCAGAAAAACGGTACCTGCCCTGGTCTAGATGAAGGGCTTGGAGCATTTTCCTCAGTGTAGCAGTCGTTACTCTTGCCTGTGGGTCCAAAGTGGGCTTCTTATGTGGACTTCCTGTGACCCAAGAACCTCATAATGTTGGCAAACATTCTACATATTTAGACGTGACTGTTTCCCAGGAGGGAGGTCCATGGCTTTCATGAGATACTATGAGGGTCCATAACTGAAAAATCTTGAGCATCACTATCGTAGTAAGACACACAANACTATAAGGGTCCATGACTAAAAAATTTTGAGCATCACTATCTTAGTAAGACACACAATTTTTCTTTTCAGGCATAGCAGAAGGTAACCAGTTAGCAGCAGCATCCTCACTGAGGCTGGTCCTGGTGGGCACATCTGGCTGTGGGAAAAGTGCCACTGGGAACAGCCTCCTCTGCCAGCGGGTATTTGAGTCCAAGCTGGGGGCCCAGGATGTGACCAGGACGTGCCAGGAGGCCTCAGGCACTTGGAATGGGAAGAACATCAGGTGGTTGACACACCATCCATCTTTGAGGCAAAGGCCCAGGACCAAGACCTGTACAAGAACATCGGGGATTGCTACCTGTTCTTATCCCCAGGGCCCCATATGCTGCTGGTGGTGACAAAGCTGGGCCGCTTCACTGCCCAGGACACGGTGGCAGTGAGGAGGGTGAAGGAGATCTTTGGGGCAGAAGCCATGAGACATGCGGTAGTCCTGTTCACCCACAAGGAAGACTTAGGGGGCGACTCCTTGGGTGACTATGTAGTCAACACGGACAACCACAGCCTGCGGAGCCTGGTCCAGGAGTGCGGGAGGAGGTACTGTGGCTTCAACAACAAGGCCACTGGGGAGGAGCAGAGGGAGCAGCTGGAGGAGCTGATGGCTGTGGTGGAGAGCCTGGAGAGGGAGCACCAGGGCGCCTACTACACAAATGACCTCTTCTTTGATGCACAGATGCTCCTGGGATGTGGGGGTGGCACCCGCGGAGAAGAGCACAGGTGCTACCTGGCCAAGGTGCAAGCTCACGTTGAAAAGCAAAGGCGAGACCTGCAGGAGGCCTGGAGATACTGGGTGTCCAAGGCCGTCCACAGAGTCAAAAATTGGATGCTTTCTCACATTGGGTTATCTGCTTTTCTTGTGACATACATTTTGATTTTCCTTGCCATTTTAATTAACTTGTGTATTACTAATGGTCGCTGAGCATTTTCAGGTGGCTTCTACAATCAGCTTTTATTTTTCAGACTCACCATCTCTGTCTACGTAAGATACTCGATTTGATTTTTTTCTTTCTTTTTTATAAATTGTATTGGGGTGACATTGGTTCATAGGATCATACAGGTTTCAGGTGTGGTTTTCTATGATACAAGATCTGTATAGTGCACTGTGTGCCCAAAGTCAAATCATCTTCTGTCTTCATATATTAGGCCCCCTTCACTCCCCACCCCCACTCCCTTTGATTTGTTTTTACTTAGATTCAGTTTTAATTTCTCTTCCTGGCATCAGACATGTCACTCGTGTTCTCCAAGTGCTTCTAGATTTAAAAAAACAACAACAAAGGAAAAATATTTTGGTGTTGTTTTGTTAAAAATTGTGGAGATAAATAATAGACTAACTGGATAGCCTCCTGGAGTCCTTGGGAGGGGTTTGCAGGAAGGAAGGCGAGTGGCCTGCCATATTTCACGCTGAGGGAGGAAATGTTACATTAGAAGCTGGTTGCAGAATTCCTTATTTCATTCAGAAAAGTGCTGTGATTTCATCGTAGGCTGTAAGGGATGACACCCATCACTGTCCCACCCAGGAGAGGTTGGTGAGGATGTTCTGGGGGGAATTCTGGAGGTGTGAAGGGGTTGGGGAGGAAGGTGGAAGGGACGTGGACATTCGGGGAGGAGAGAAAACGGTCACAGATGTGGGATGGGGTGAGGCCTTGGGGAAAGCAGGGACAGTGGCTGGGAAATACAGGAACTGGGATCCCATAGAGCAGAGCCAGATAGTGGGTCCTTTAGGCTTAGCAGAGGACACGCTCTCAGTCACGTACAGAGGGAATGGCGCATGGACAAGACGGGAGTGATGGGTGAGGCTGTGTTCACAGAACTTGGTGCACACGGGACTTTGAGTTTCATGTAACTTTCATATGTGCCCGGGAAACATTACTATTCTTTTCATTTCCTCAACCTTTCAAATACCTAAAAGCCTTTCCTTAGTAGCTCGCAGGCTGTACCAATGGCAGCAGGAAATTGACCGGCTGAAGTCCAAGGATGGAGTAGCTTCAGGGCTAGTTGACTCAGGGGCCCATCTCTGTTACAGCTCTCTCCTCTGCTTTGAGGTGTTGGTGTCAACCTCAGGCTGGTGACCGGATGGTGGCTCGAGTTCCAAGCATCATACTCAGACCCAACCACGCGCAGAGGAGAAGGGGGACTGTGTCTCTCTGTGGGTCTCTCCTGGGAAAGGAGAAACCTCTGGCCCCAGCTCTGCACACTCAATTCTTCTTGTTTGTCCTGTTTCTTTCACTAAGGCTGCAGGCACAGTGCGCACAGCATGATTCTGACTCAGAGAGGCCTGGCCCCGGCTGTTCCCACCCACTTCCTGTTTCTCTAGCTTCCAGTAGACAGCTGCTGCTTCTAGAGTGGTTGTTAGCTGAGCTTTCAGACACATTTTGCTGAAAAATATAAGCAATGTTGTCTTTGTGTTCAAATGTCTACAATGCTTTGTCAGACTTCCTCCAGCCAAGGCCCCCAGGAGTGTCTGATGTGTCAGCCCCAAACGGAGAAACCAAGAACTCACAGGAGCACAGGGTATGTTTCCGAGTGTATCTGTGTGTTGTGCATGTATTTGTGTTTGTGTGTGTGTTATGTTTGTATGTATATGTTGTGTGTGTCTGTTTATGTGTGTGTTGTGTTTGTGAGGAACTGTGTGTGAGGCGTGTATTTTGTTTTTGTGTGTTATGTTTATGTCGAGTGTATGTGTGAGTGTTGGCGTGTGTGTTTGTGCGTATATGTTGTGCACAACTTGTGTGTGTTGTTTTTGAGGAAGTGTTTGTGAGTTGTGTGTATTATTTTGTTGTAACATGTTTATGAGTGTTGTGTGTTTGTATGTTTGTGAGTGTATGTGGGTGCTGTGGATGTGAGTGTATTTGAGTGCATTGTGTGAGTGCTGCGTATGTCATGTCTGTGTGTGTTGTGTCTATGTGTGTGCTTGTGATATATTAGAAAGGGCTGGGACTGAAAGTCAGGAGGTCTTTGCACACTTGAGCCTGTCTGGAAATTCCCCACTTAAACCGGGGAAAATGCTTCTGTGGCTTTCACTTTCTTCTTGAGAAGCACAACAAGACAATGTACCTACTCTGTGTTCTATGCTAGAGACAAAACTACAAAGTGTGGCAAAGGTGTAAGGCGCTATTCAGGGCACTTTCTATGGAGGCCCATGAGTCAGGTGTCCCCACACCCCAGAGCCTTCATCTGGAGATGGTCTCTGACTGTAGATGTGTCCGAGTGTCTGAGTGTCCTGGCCAACAGTCCTGGGGCTGTGTACTTTCCTTCCCAACTCCACAGAGGAGATGGAGCAGATAGCCCAGGACAGGCTCCTGGAACAAAGAACGATCCTAGACCCTGAGGGATGTGGGTGGCAGCAGGGTGCACTGCCCTCTCGCCAGAAAGATGGCACGAGGAACTGGCTGGGTGACAAGGTCCTCTTTGCAAAGACTAGGACTTGCAATAGAAAATGTCATAAAAAGTGTTCGCATGTTACAGGGACCACAGGGACATCTAGGTCAGACCCAGAATTGACACTTATGGGGACACAGGCTCAGGCATTGTGACCACACTACCTGATGGCGATAGAGATGGATACTGAGGTCTCCTAGCTCCCAGCAGGACTGTCCCCGAACCATGAATTTCCTATGCCAAGGGTATTGGCCTCCTCACCACAACACCAGGCCACTCACCTCTCAGCCCTCTGCCACCCTCACCACCAGGCCTTCCTCGGGGGTCATCCTGGCACCAGGACCCCACCCCTACCCCAGCCAGCCCTTCACCGCAGCTCCCTGTTCCCCCTCCCACACATTCTGGCCACTCTACTGACTGCTTCCAAGACACAGTGTCAGACCTGCTTCGGTGTCTCTACTCCTTTCTCCTCCTCACATGACAGCTCCAGGGCCCTTTGTCCATCCAGATGCCACCCCATCCTCAGGCTGCAGGCCGACTGCACCTTCTCCATGAAATCACTTAAACTCACGATGGAGACCACAGAGCAGACAGACAGAGACACAGAAACAGAGAGAGATGGAGACACAGAGATAGAGGCACAGAAACAGAGACTCAGAGACAGAGAGAGACAGAGAAGCAGGGTCTTGAAAGGAGGTAGAGAGTGTCTCAGACCTTCCTCCCCTCTCCTCACCCAATCACCTCACCCCCACCCAAAGCAATGTAAAAAAAACATCCCTCTGGCAAGAGAAAGGCAAAGCCAGGTGCCTCCTGAAACTCGGTTGGAAAATCAGCCAGACTTCCTAATTTCTCTAGATAGAGGAAGCAGAATCTGAGCTCACTGCCCGGGACAATCCCACAGGAACACCGGCCCAGCATCCTAAACAAGAGGAGTCTGAAGGTAAGAAGTCTTCCCTCTGTAGGTGAACCTGAGACAGGTGTGAACAGGGACATGCGACCTGCGGGGTGCTCTTGGAGAGGCCAGAGAGTGCAGCTCAGGCAGAGCTTCAGCCAACAGGGGGCCCTTGGGTGGGCCCTTGCTTACCCCACTTAATAAGGGGGGAAAGCTCCTCCTCCCACAGGCACAGGGTGAGAAAGGAGGTGAGAGAGAGCACCAGTCCCACCAGGAAGAGAAAGAAATTCTCTTCCTGTCCTTTAACCCCAGTCATTTCTAAAACCTTATCATTAGATTTTTTTTATATTAGGTTGGCATCTCCAAGTCTTCTCCCTGCTAATGGTTTCTATGTTGGCTGGGTGGGAACATTTGGCCCAAACATCAAGGATGTAGCCTAAGCACGTGACCCCCGTGTGCCTCTGTGCTGTTGAGCCCGGGGTCTGGCTGAAATGTCCCACACTCCCCACAGTCCCTGTTGGAAAAGCTGAAAGAGGTGATGTGGTCAGTCACCTCAGGGACAAGAGGTGACACAGAGGCCACTCACTTCTATCCTCATTACTCAGGGATACCTAGGGAAGCTCAGGGTCTTCATGATGGGCTGGTTTGCAGCTGGGTGTCAACAGGACCCTGATAAGAAGTTTCAAAACCTAAACATAACACTGTGGAATTCTACCGTATTATCCAGCCTTTCCATTCCTCGGTTTATGCCCCCAGGGAATTCAAAGCAGGGACTCAAGCAGGCATGTGCATGCCAAAGCTCACAGCAGCATTATTCTCAATAGCAAAATGTGGGAGCAACCCCTGTCCACATGTAAGAATCAACAAAATGTAGTCCATCCACACAATGGAATATTTCTCAGCCTTGAAAAAGAAGGAAATGCTGACACAGGCTACAGTAAGGATGAACCTCGAAAACATGATGCCAAATGAAATAAACCAGACACAGAAGGTCATATTTGCAAACACCCACTTATCTGAGGCCCCTAGAATAGTAAAATCCCTCAAGACAGAAAGGAGAATGGTGGTTAGCAGGGGACCAGGGGAAGGAAGGTTTGAGGAGTTATTGTTTTATGGGGACAGAGCTTCAGTTTGGGGTGATAAAAACTTTCTTGAGATGTGTAAGAGTGATGATGACGTAACAGTGTGAAGGTACTCAATGCCACTGAATTGTACACCTGAAAACCGTTAAAACGGTATCTTTTATGTTATGTGTATTTTATCACAAATAAAAAATTTAACAATGAAAGAAATGGGAGCTGAGGACAGGTCTCAGGTGCAGATGTTAATCTTTGTCCCTCCTCCCAGGACAGTCGGCCTGAGGTTATAGAGCAGATCCAAGGGTGAGGCCTCTGATGAGACTAAATGGGGTGCATGGGCTCTAATCCCAATCCCTCTGCTTTCTCTTGACGCTTCTAGATCTGAGGGAGAAAGAACAGACCCCACAGAAGCTGAGGCTCATCCTGGTGGGAAAAACTGGAAGTGGGAAGAGCGCAACAGGAAACAGCATCCTTGGCAGAGAAGTGTTTGAGTCTAAGCTCAGCACCAGACCAGTGACCAAGACCTTCCAGAGGGGGAGCCGAACCTGGGCCGGGAAGGAGCTGGAGGTGATCGACACCCCTGATATTTTGTCCCCTTGGCTTCTACAGGAAGTGGAAGGTGAGGGCTCCTGGGAAGCCATCTCCTCCTCAGGGCCACATGTGGTGCTCCTGGTCATAGAGCTGGGCCGGTTCACAAAGGAGGATCAGTTGGTGGTCAGGCGCCTCCAGGAGGTCTTTGGAATGGGCGTCCTGGCCCACACTGTCCTGCTGTTCACCAGGAAGGAGGACCTGGATGGTAACTCTCTGGATGAGTATGTGCAAGAGACTGACAACCGGGAGCTTGCCCAACTGGATGTGATCTGTTCACGGCGCCACTGTGGCTTCAGCAACAGGGCAAAGGGTTCAGAGCAGGAGGCCCAGCTGGAGGAGCTCATGTTAAAAATCGAGGGAGTCCTGTGGGAAACCCAAGGCCATCCTTATAGCCACAAGGCTGACTAGTGCTCTGCAAGGACAGGAAAAGGCCTCTCCTTTGTTTTTCTGTCACAACTCACAAAATATGGGGAGCTTCTGGGAATTATACACAACGATTGTTTTTTCTGATTCAAGCAGCCTATTCATACAGCAGGATAGATAAGGCCTGAGTTCAAGGCTGCACGTTCCTCCCAACCCCGCCTCCCTGCTGTTTTAACCACTCCTGGATAATTTGCACCAAGGCATCTCTAGTTAGTAGGGAGCTGCCTTTCCCTCCTCTTCAGAAAAGCCTCTTTTGAACTATTTATAACTTTTGTTCTAAGCTTGTCTTACAGGCTTGGGAGAAATTCTGGTAAGACACATTCTCAGCACATCTGCCTGACTGTCTCCTCCAAAGCAAGCAAACTAACTTTTCAAGACCATCCTTGGTACCTGGTCAGTTTCAACACAATTGCCCTCCCTTCCTTGTTGCCTAACAACAGCAACTGCTTGCTCTTTAAAAGTGTAAGCCACACTTTCTTCCCCTCCCTGTGTTACTAGCAATATGCTGGTCCTTTCCTCCCTTGGAAAGTAAAATAAATTTCCTCACTGCATCTCTTCTCTTCGTTGTGAATTCTTTCACTGCCCGTGTCACCGGCCAAATCCTAACATACTGGAAGTAAAGCTTCCTGCTTGCAGGGGCCAGGCTCTCAGGAAGGGCCCAGTGGGGATTCCTGACTGAGGTACTGTGCCAAATCCAGAAGGCATCTGAGGAAACTCAGCAATATCTCCTGAAGGGGGCACCCACCTGAGCATATGCAGGACTCCAGGGAGGGACAACTGTTTCCTCTAACCTCCCTCGGTCCTGTATCCAGCTTCCAGCCTGTCACTTGTCCCCTCTATCCCATGGGTCACTGACCATGCCAGTCTCCAGGTGGGTGTCTGGTGTGATGTAGAGGGTATGGGTCCCTGAGTTGCCAGCTCCCATCCAGGTCCTTCATCACATCTTTGGGAGCAGGTGGGCGCTCCCTCCTCTGTGCCCTCCAGCACACCTCCTCACATGGAACCTGACATTGCATTGGCATTGCATTTCCTGATGTTCTTATCTTTACCCTGATAGAACCAGAGCTTCCTTAGGGCAGGTCGTGCCTCATTCTTCCACGCAACCCCACAGCGTCCTGGTCACTGGAGTCACATGAACGATGATAGCAAATCAGTGTGGGACATTGCCCAGGTGACTTCATACCTCTTGGGCTATGTCTTCGCCTGTATCTGCTGCGTGTGGTTGGTCTGGACATTGCACTGGCTCTGTGACATGTGGGGAAGGACAGCTGCTGGGCTGGGGACTAGAAAGCAAATTGAACAAGGGAAGGGGGCAGGAGAAGCAGCCCTTTTATTCACCCCTGAAAGAGGCCATTGAATCACAACAAAGGAGCCTCATGGGAACTTCCTGGTAGGAATGGTGAGCACAGTGGGGCCAGGGTATCCCAGAAGCCAGACCTGGTCAGGAAGGTGACCCCTAAACATGGCTACAGGACATGGAGGTTCACGGAGGTGCCAATGAGGCTGGGTAGAGGAGGGGCACTTCCCTAAAGTGGACTTGGATTCGGGATGCTATAATTAGGGCCCCTTCTCATTATATCAGCCTTTTAATTTTGGAAAAATAAGGTGATTTTCAACCCTGTGTCAGCCTGGTCTGCAACACCTTCCCCTCTCCCTTGACAGTGGGGAGAAAGCGTGCATGGGGTCAGTGTCTGAGTGTATAGTGGGGTTCCCAAGTAAGGTATGTGTGGGTGTCAAATGGAGGGAGGCAGAGAAGAAGGGGAACTGGCAAAAGTGGCGAGTGAGTGACATGAACATCCTAGGGAGCAGCCTACATGGTGATGGGGAGGAGTCTGCACCACATGGGTCTTTGTGGAGGGCTGCTTCTACCCACAGGGACCATGGGAAGTGATGGGACCAGAACCAGAGGCCAGGGAATGTTGGTCCAGGCCAAGCCTCTGATAGGGAGATGCGATCTAACCTCACAAAGAGACTGACACACCTCAGATGCACTTGAGCTTCTTTAAGGTTCACGATGCTCCTTGTGGAATCTGATCAACTGTTGGAAACACGATAGGAGGGGACAGGGGAAATGCCTCCCCATAGATCCTTCTTTCCTTTCTTCAAGCCACATGGCAAAGGGTCTCCAGCTACCTTCTTTGAGGAAAGGTGGGAAGTAGGGGTGGGGTGACAGTGCTGCGGGAGAATCAGAAATCAGAAACACAGCTTCAGGTCTGTCTGAATGCTGACCTGCTGGTCAGAGACCCTCTACTGTCAGAGGCTCTCTGAGGACCCTGGTCTCCCAGTCAGGAGGCCATGGCACTCCCCGTCCCAGACACAGGGGGTGCCTAAGAAAGCCGAGCCATTTCTTGGGCTGAAAGATTCAGGAAAGTGTCTCAAGGCAGAAGGGAGGCTTATTTTGATTTATACTTAAGACAGGCTTCCTGCCAGACCACTTATTACATCAGCACTTGACTTACGATGGACCAAACACAGCCGTTAGCACTTCTCAGTCTTCCATCATCCCCAAGACCCATGGTAGGATTTTCAGTTCTGGTCCCGTCTTCTACTTTTCTACTCCTTATGAATAAAATATTGATCTGATTACAGGGGCTTTAATTTCCTCATTTATGCATTTCCTTTATTATTCTCAGGCATTTATTCTTCTACATGAAAATTAAAATCACTTGTTTAATTTTCAGAAAAAGACCTTATTGGCATTCCAGTTGGAGTTGTCTTTCACCTCTGTATTACCTTTGGGAGAATTTTAAATACTTCAAGAACACGTGAACCAAGGTGATCTTGTTTCTGAGTGAGCAGACTCGCAGCTTCAGAGCTACTGAGTAATAGTTAAAGCCATCTGTATTGCCATTAGGATAACAAGGTAAATTTCTTTCAGTGTTGCTATTTTCACTGTTAGCTTAATTCATTTCATAATAGAAAATACAAGCATTTTACAAAATGACACCCAGTCAGTGATTCTAAATGGCAACTCACTCAAAATATATCATGTTTTTAAAATTCTAGAGGAATTATTTCAAATTATATCAAACACAGTGTTTTCTCTCCTTTATTACTAAAAACCCTGGGAGATGCCTCCCACAACATTGCAGGAGGAGTGACAGATGCTGCTCCCCTGGTGTCACTCCAGGGCCTGAGAGAGTGGGGAACCCAGGTGTGGGCGTGTTTGGAAACTCCACAGTCTGTGCATCAGTAAGAAAGAGGTGGTGTGGGCAGGGTGGGCTGGGGAGGGTTGTCTTGGCCAAGTCTGAATGTGTCAGGTGAGAATTTTAGTCATTATTTGGCACAAACTCCTCATGATGGAGCATCTGCTGAAGAATCCGGTGGCAGATCCTAACCTGACCTGTCCAAGAAGGGACGATAGGATGTGCCCAGGCCCTTCCCTGTGATGCTGAGAACACAGCGGGACAATCCACGGAGCCCTGTTTACAACAGAGGACTCAGCCAGCTGAATAGTCCCTGTGAGAATTCACTGGTGCCTGACCTTCCTAGGGAAACGTTTCCATCTCATCCAAGGCAGCAGTAGGACTTACACCTAAGATGCGGGGCATGCCCGGGACAGAGTATTAACTTACTGTCTTGTACTTTCATGACCTGTGGTCCAAGTGGACTAACACATGCTGTCATCAGAGTGGGTGCCAGGGGCTCCTCCCTGCTCACCGCTTTCTTTCAGATTCCCAGGGTGCATGAGGCCCTCACTAAATATCTGTCACCCTACCGTTTGGAGGTTTGCAGAAACTGGGCTCAAGGGACATTGCCACAGCATGGAGAGTCCCAAATCTCTCTTGCTCTTTGAGGGAACTTTCTGAGATCACTTCCTCAAGCTTCCCTCTACATTCTCAATCATGTGCCGCAGTCCTGTCTATTTTTCCCCAAATTCCTATAAACTTGAAATTCAGTTCTTTAGCTGGTTTCCACAGTAACAACATGTAGGAAGCGTTGTGTAGCCTTTAGCTTCTATACTGGAGATTTTGAAAGTCACAAGGAGGGTCCCACAGGCAGCCCTGGGC